TTCTCGAGCTGGTGACTACTTCCTTCTTGAAACACTGGGAGGTGGGAGGCAGCTCGGTGGTGCTGCCCCGTCTTGTGTTTGTATGCGTGGGCAGCCCCGGGGTCTGCTCTGCTCTCCCCAGAATAAGCCCTCCTCATTCCTGTGACTGTGGGTATTCTTCCCATGTTGGAGACTTCCAGAATGTGCTGCTCTGAGCTCCAGACACCTGTGAATGCTTCTTACACATCTCAGTATGTTTAAAACCGAGCTTTGGGTGATACCCATAAATCTGCATTTTAGCGATGGGGACCCCTCAGGCAGAAAACTAGGAAATACCTTGGCTCTTTTTACCTAATGCCTTTCTCCCTTCTAATGTATCACCAAGACCCCTTGATTTCTGTCGTCAAATTAAATCTCAGATTCATCTACTTCCTATCTTCTTGCCCCTGTCGAGGGGCAGCTAAGCTACGCCTCTGGGTTTCACTCTTGGCCCCTCCCAGGCGATTTTCCATACAGCAGCCACGGTCATCTCGTCATTTCCAAGGCAGAGCCTTTCGTAGGCTTCCCATCGCTCTGGGATAAGTTTTTTCCTGTCTTAGTATTTTTTTCCGCTGTGGTCCAGCCACAACTGGAAGAGTCTGTCAGACTCCCCTGCCGGCCCCTAGTAACGTTCTTCCGTCCGCTTATACTCTCTGCCTGCTTATTTTTTAGCTCAGAGAACAGCTTGTTCTCTTTCCCTCCGAAGTGTGCTCTGCCATGAGTTCCTGTACTTGCTCTTCCCGCCCGTCAGCACAGTTTCTGTGTTTGTGGGACTTGGGCCAGAAGCTCTGAAGGCAGAGCCTGAAGGATATGCTTGGCTTCGCAGCCGCTGCCCATCCTGTGGCGTGTGGCCCAGAGCATTTGTCACGGTTTATAGACAGCTTTACCTTGGGGTTCATCTTTGTCTTATTTTTAAAAAAGCCCTTTGAATGACAAGTGAAATAGTTTTAATAATCTATAACATGTTGACTTTTTCAAATCTGTGTCCCTTCCCCGTAGCCTGCTTGTGATTTCTGTCCTGTGCCCTCCTCCTGGCAGCTTCGCCTGATTGACACGGGGGCTTTGGACGCATCTTTTGAAAACCAGACTCTACTTTCTCGTCCTGCCCCATAACCTGTTAGTTTTTGTTTTACGCCGGGAGTCACTGGCTGAACCTCCCTGTCACCAAGCCGTAAACTGGGACTTCTCTGTTCAGAACATCTGTTCGCATCAGATACGCTCCTGTGCCTCCAGTTACTGCTTCCTCGCCTCATTCCTCTATCTTTCCAGTGCGGTGCCCACATTGACATCGGGGCATCCTTTTGAAAACACGGATAATACTCTTACTTAAAAATGTTAAACTTCTTGGGGTGCCTGGCCGGCTCGGTCAGTAGAGCATGTGACTCTTGATCTCAGGGCTGTGAGTTTTTAAACCCCACTTTGTGTGTGGAGTCTACTTAAATAAAAATAAATAAATTGGGGTGCTTGGGTAGCACAGTCAGTTGAGGTCACGATCCCAGGGCTGTGGGATGGAGCTGTGTTGGGTACCACACAGAGCGTGGAACCTGCTTAAGATTCCCTCCCTCTGTCCCTCTCCCCCACTCGTGCATACTCTCTAAATTCATTATTAAAAATAAATAAAAATATTAAATTTCTTAATGGGCCCGAGACACTTTAACATCTAACTCTACAAAACGTTCATTTTCTGTTCCTACTAGTCATTTCTTTTTTAATTAAAAAAAAAAAAAAAAAAAAAACTTTTTTTAAGTTTGCTCATTTTTTTTTTTTTTTTAAATTTTTTTCTTAATGTTTGTTTCTTTTTTTTGAGACCGAGAGAGACAGAGTGTGAACGGGGGAGGGTCAGAGAGAGAGGGAGACACAGAATCCGAAACAGGCTCCAGCCTCCGAGCTGTTGGCACAGAGCCCGACGCAGGACTTGGAACTCACAGACCACGAGATCACGACCTGAGCCAGAGTCGGACGCTCAACCGACTGAGCCACCCAGGCGCCCCAAAAGTTTGTTCATTTTGAGAGACAGAGACAGAGCATGAGTGGGGAAGGGGCAGAGAGAGAGGAGACACAGAATCTGAAGCAGGGTCCAGACTCTGAGCTGTCAGCACAGAGCCGGTTGTGTACCTTTTTGAACGTTTGAACGCGAGATCATGACCTGAGCCAAAGTCCGATGCTCAACCGACTGAGCCACCCAGGCGCCCCTGTTCCTACTAGTCATTTCTACTCTGGACTCCTCTTGACTCCAGACCTTCATGCTTTCCTTGCCTCACCTGGCAGGCTGCATGTTGCTTCCCAATCATCTCTGCGTTCCGTTGTAGCTAATGCTTTTCCAGGGTATGGTTGACAGTGTTTCCCTGCCAGATCCTTAAAGGCAGGGATGCGGAACTCACATTGGGGTGGGGGAGAACTAAGTGGTAATTTTAATTTCTTGGACTTTTCTGTAAGTTGATTTAAATTTTGGTCACAGAAGGGAAAGAGTGTTTGATGTAATTTAATCTGCAGTTATTTTATGTGAAGTATTTAATGGAAATTGGAACTAGATTAACCACACAGAAGATAACTTTGGGTTATTACATACCCAAATGCTTCATCTCTGTAGAGAATCTGATATCACCAAGGAGCGGATTCAGAAGATCCTGGCAACTGGTGCCAACGTTATTCTAACCACCGGTGGAATTGACGACATGTGTCTGAAGTATTTTGTGGAGACAGGTGCTATGGCAGTTCGAAGAGTTTTAAAAAGGGACCTGAAACGCATCGCTAAAGCTTCTGGAGGTAAGTCCTCTGCTCGCTCCCAGCTGCGGCGCGTCACGTTACCGCATATGAGACAGTGTCTCTTTACGTCGGAATGTTATTACTAAGCAGTTTGAGAAGCAGTGGTTTTTTTACATCTTACTCCTTTAATGCCTTATGCTACAAATACGTCTCATAGAGCCATTTTCCACGTTACTGGAAAAGCTCTTTAACTTACTGAATGTGTTGACCTCAGAAGGTCATGGTTCCGTGTTAGGCTGAAAGGACAGTGGTTTATCTGATGCCTGTCTATACATTGCTCTTATCATAAATGTTTCTGAATTTGGGACAGCATATGAAAGTGTTCATGGGAAAAGTGTTTACAGATCTTTGTCATCATCTTCACAGCGACTATCTTGTCAACCCTGGCCAATTTGGAAGGAGAAGAAACTTTCGAAGCTTCAATGTTGGGACAAGCAGAAGAGGTGGTACAGGAGAGAATTTGTGATGACGAACTGATCTTGATCAAAAAGTAAGAGCTGCTTTCTCAATCGAGCTGCACGGGTTTTATTAGTAAGGGAACAGATCGCCTTCCCATTGATTTGCTGCTCTAGTCTTTCAGTGATCAGAGCAGTTATACGCGTGGGAGAGAACAATGGTAGGCCGTGCGCTACCACGAGATGGAGTAACCATTTCATCTCTTCTGCGCGGTCCAGACACTGCCTCTGTGTCTGGGTGAACCACGTGAGCAGGATTTCCAGTCGAGGTGCTTACGGTGGGTTTCTTTGTAGACGTCTATGAAAATATATTAAGAATTTCACTTTACTTTTTTAAATAGCACTAAGGCTCGTACGTCTGCATCAGTTATCTTACGTGGGGCGAATGATTTCATGTGCGATGAGATGGAGCGCTCTTTACACGATGCTCTTTGTGTGGTGAAGAGAGTCTTGGAGTCCAAATCTGTGGTTCCTGGCGGAGGTGCTGTAGAAGCGGCGCTTTCCATATACCTCGAAAACTACGCAACCAGCATGGTGAGAACACGTAGAATTGTGCTTTCTTTTCAAGAAGGGCGGGGGGGCACCATCTTTGGCTTTTTGTGGATGTACCTTCCCTGATGGGGCCCCTGGGTGGCTTGGTCCGTGGAGCGTCGGCATGTAGATTTTAGCTCAGGTCATGATCTCCCGACTTGTGGAAACGAGCGCTGCCTCGGGCTCTGTGTTGACTCCCGAAGCCGGCTTGGGCTTCTCTCACTCGCTCTGCCCCTCCCCAGGTAGCGCACGCTTTCTCTTTTAAAATAAGATAAACGTTCAAAAGTACATATACTCTTCTCGGTCCTCTGCTGCCGCTGTGGGTTTTAAGACCCTTCGCTGTCTTTCTTCTCAGGGGTCTCGGGAGCAGCTTGCTATTGCGGAGTTTGCAAGGTCTCTTCTTGTTATTCCTAACACACTGGCCGTGAATGCTGCCCAAGACTCCACAGATCTGGTTGCAAAGTTAAGAGCTTTCCATAATGAGGCTCAAGTCAACCCAGAACGCAAAAATCTAAAATGGTAAGCATACAGTTTCCCTTTTTCACGGTCATCTGTGTATCGTGTATGGCACTTTAGCTTTGTTTTAAACCAATAAAAGATGATGACTAGTGATTAGCATTGGTGTATTTTAGTTAGCAGCTCAGAGTCCCAGCCTCTCCCTGCTTCTCTGGACAGTCACTACACCTGCACAAAGGTCCCACAGAGGCCAGGGGATTATTTTTGGGTCATCCGTATCTTCTTGAGGAGCCCCTGTTTAAGATACTGAATGATGTTGGGAGCCCAGCATCTATCTAAGCTTTTCTATGACTCGGTACTTATTTTGTTACTTACAGTCAACTACTGTAGTCTTAAGGGATCTATCCTGAGGTCCCTACATTTCCCAAGATTAACATTTGAATGGCGAAGCCATTCATCTCTTAAAGAGATGAGATGGGATAGGTGTGCATTATGTAAGAAATCACTTAATGGTTTTTTGGTTGGTTTTTTTTTTGTTTTTTTGTTTTTTTGTTTTTTTTGCAGGATTGGTCTTGATTTGGTCAATGGTAAACCCCGAGACAACAAACAAGCAGGAGTATTTGAACCAACCATAGTGAAAGTTAAGAGTTTGAAATTTGCAACAGAAGCTGCAATTACCATTCTTCGAATTGATGATCTTATCAAATTACACCCGGAAAGCAAAGATGATAAGCATGGAGGTTATGAAGATGCCGTTCACTCGGGAGCCCTTGATGACTGATCTCATTTCTCTTTTATTTATAACAATGTTAGACGCAGTTATCTTGTTATCTTGAGTATTACACATTAATAAAAATAACAAGCTGTCAAGCCTTGGGTTCTTCCGAAAGATGGTTTCCATCCTCACTTTGGTCCTCTGATTTCACATATTACAATTTAGTACCTTGTTAGCGTGAGAAGAGATGAGGTTTCAGTTTAGTTTCGGCATGATTCATTAAGCAATTTCATCCTCTCTGAACACACATTGCTATTCCCATCCCACCCCCAATGCATAGGGCAGCCACACCACGATGTCCACCCTTTCGCTCCATTGTGTGTAACAGGGTAACAAGAATCCGACAGCCAGATGCTCCAAGAGGGTGGCCCAAGGCTATCGCCCCTCCTTGAATGTTGACCTAAGGGGGGAAGAATATATACCGTTATTCTGTGGACATAGGGTAAAAAGTTTTGTGGGGTTTTTTTAATAGTTATTTAGAACATGTGAGGTGGGGAGGGGCCAAGAGGGAGAGAGAAACCCAAGCAGGCTGGGTGTGGAGCCTGACTCTGGGCTTGATCCCACAACCGTGATTTCATGACCTGAGCCCAAATCAAGTCTGAGGCTTAACCTACCGAAACCACCCGGGTGCCCCAGGGCTACAAATCGTAAATTATCTTCACCCTTTTAACATTACACCAGTAAACTATCCTTTCAAATTCCACTTTCATTTTTACTGTTTAGGTATACTGTTTATACCCCTGTGACATCCACCCTATCTCACTAGTTTAGAAGAGTCCATGCTCTGTTGGTGTTAGAAGTAAACTAATACACAGTCCAGGGTTTTTGCCTCGGGAAGCAAAAGAACTCCCCAGCCCTAGCAGGCACGCACCCAGGATCCACCCACAAGTTAGTTATTGGCCGGTTGGCCAATACCAGGGATACTGTGGAACAACTATACGTGGGTTTTGCTGTTTGCAATCTTAAAATTGCATTGTGAGAGTTCACTTGTGAGCTATCCCCACGACTGCTTGCTCGGGTTTACCTTCTCTGTGTTTAATCCAAGTTCTTTAGCTACTGCAACAGACAGGGCTGCAAAGGCTTCATTGATTTCAAATATGTCCACATCCTCCAGTGACCAACCTGCTTTTGCAACCTGAAGGAAAGATGAATGGAATAGAGGTCTGAACACTCAGGTGGAGCCTTCCTTCATTGTAGATACTCAAAAGAATAGACTGATACTGAAGGATCTCTTCTGGGATGTTCCAGCAGGGGCCTAGTGGTACATTTTGCCTCGGTGACACCAGTTCCAAAACATGAAGGATCAAACATCCCTTGGAGATTCTAAAGTTAAAGTTTTGAAGCAGTAATAGGTTACACGTAGGTGACATGATCTAGGGGATTATCAGTTACCCCTAAAAGGCATACGACCCAAATGTTCTCGGCTGCTCTTTGTGGTGGACTAGAGGTAGAGCTGCAGGAATATGCTCGCATAAGGCTAGGGAGGAATTCCATTAAAGGGAAAATGAGACCTGATAAGAATAAAAAGGAAAGCAAAACCAGGCTCGATCTTGACATTTTGGAGTGGAGAGGATCTGAGCCAAGGTTTACAGAGGACAGAATAACGAATTACAGGGTGTTGGTCTGGTCCCAAAGAGGTTCGTTCAACCAACAAAGCAAAGGACAGGGGCTAACGTTCAGAACTAGACTCACAGCTTGCTTTATCGCCGGAATTGGTCCTGTCCCCATAATGGAAGGCTCCACACCTACTTGTGACCAGGAAACTATCTGTGCTAAAGGTGTAAGCCCTCGACTGTCGGCCTCTGACTTCTTCATAAGAACCACAGCGGCAGCACCATCATTTATTCCTGTAAAATATGAAAGTCTGGAGTTTTGAGATGGTCATTGAGTTACATGCCTGTGTCTACTTTCTGACACGTGAAGACGTGTTAAATTATTCTTAATACATCTTGGCAAATTCATTGGCTGTAATTCCTATTTACAATGTAATTGGAAATGGTAAGTTTGGTAATATGAATATGACATAATTGACCACAGAATGTTCTAACTGAGGAAAGCTGGGGGAGGGGAGGGTAAGAAAAGAAATGGAAGAAATAGTCTTCATTTCACGGGAGGTACTGGGAGTTGCTGGTTTTGGAAAAGCACAGAGGTAGTAGATAAATTCTGGGGTTCCCTAATTTGCTTTTTCGCCTGTGTCTAGTGAGGATGTCAGGGAGTCAAATCCATTCTTTCACATATACATTAAGTCAAAAATGTAAACACTTAGTAATGATCAAATACAGAGAAACTAGATTTTCCCTTAGAGCAACTAAAGGTTTTAGGATCATTTGTATACAAAAAAATAATTGAAACGAAGAAGGCATTAAGTTGGTGGGGCCTAGCAGAAGACGGTTTTCCCCCAACTGCCCTTTGGCAAATCTGACCTGAAGCATTAGCTGGGGTGACTGTTCCTGTTCCATCTTTGAGAAAGTAAGGCTTCAAGTTAGATATGGCTTCTATGTTGGTCCCATGGCGAGGAAACTCATCTGTTTTCACTTCAGTAAGACCTGAACAAGGAAAATCAATTCCCCAAGATTACCACAGAGATGGCAGTTGGCGTGCTAGGAATGGTGGAGTCCTGAGACATGATGCATGAAGATTCATACTTGGAAGGAAGGCTCATCAAAAATACTTTTATTCCAAGAGGAAAGTACACACTAATAAAAAAAGCGTGTGTTCGAACATTTTATAAGCACTGTCCTCATGAGACATTTTGAGTGTTTTCCATATGCACGGCCCTTTCTGAGGAGGGCAGTTCCTTGTGCGAAAAGTTAAGGTGTGGGCGTAGGACTTGTCTGGTTACAACCGCCTGGACCCGGGAGCGTCAAAGCTATGAGGCTTGGACATAAGTGACATCAGTTATGGGGAACGGAACAGTTACCAGTAATAGCCCCTCGACTAGAGCACGCCATATTAGATAATAGCAAAGTGACCCAAAAAGATCCACCCTCAAGATGTATGATATGTAAACAAAAACATACAGAAAATAACGAATGTTCACTTCCGAGGAGAATTAGCCTGTAGGGACAAAAGGTCAGCTGTTGCCTTCTAACAACCATGAGCCAACGCTCCAGTTTCTCACATGAAACCAGCTGTATCTACAGAACAGTGTGGACACTCTGGGACCAAGAGGGTCCAGTGCTAACACAGATGCCTATGTTCTTAACCCTTCCACGCCCCATAAACATGCCCCCACCCCCCCGCCCAGCCCCGCCATCTAAGACATATCCAAGATCAATCTTTTCTTTGCAACCTGAAAGACACAATTTATAAACATTCCTATATATTATTTTGTGGAGTATTACTCTTACCTATAAATAGGCATGCTGCTGTTTAAATCATTATGATCCAGATACTCACCTTTTCTAGAAGACACAAAAACTGGTATAATCTCTTTGTCAAAATAGCCAGCTTTCTGTGCACTCTCTGTCCTGTTCTGGGACAAAACTGCAAACTTGTCCTGATCTTCTCTACTCACTTGCCATTTTTTGGCTACATTTTCAGCTGTGAAAGAAAAAAATAATAATAAAGCAAAAGAAACATTTTCAGGAACTGGCTCTCGGTAGCTCAAGTTTTTCACATGTAAACAAGCACGGAGCGCCGAGTACAAGCAGCCTCACCGATGGGCTGCGACAGTGTTCTGTGGCCATCTTGCCTCACAGTGGCAATGAATTTGGAAACGTTGCAGTAAATCTTAGAAGCCATTTTCTTTGTTCCTGTCCTCTCTTTTCCCTTCTATATAATTTTAAACTTTCAGAAATTTCCTTTATGCCGATTCACCAACTGTTTTATATTTTTTTTGCCCCACTTACTTTATCATTCTCTCTGAACCATTTGAGAAAAATTTATAATCCTGCCTCTTTATCCCTCAATTTTAATTTCCTTGTATATTTCCCCCAAATGGCCATTTTCTTACATAAACACAGTTACCAAGATCAGGAAATTTAACATTGATACAATACTATGATCTAATTCGTGGTCCAGATTCAAGTTTCACCTATTGTCCCAATGATGTCCTCTGTAGCTAAATTTAGATGCTCAGTTCAGGGATCACACACTGTGTTACACTTAATAGTGAAACAGCTCCTCAGTTTCTTTTTATTTGAAATAGTTTCTCATACTATCTTCGTGTTTCTTAACCTGGATTTTTTGAAGAGCAGAGGCCAGTTCTTTTATCGAACGTCTTCCAATTTAGGTTTGATGTTTCCTCAAGATTAGATTAAGATTTTGCAGAAAAGCAGGCATACCACAGACATGATCTCAGTGAATCTTATCAGGATGCCTGTGGTATTAGTTCACCTCAGGTGCCGTTAGCTTTCATCACTTGGTTCAAGCCTCTCTACACGGTAAAGTTACTACTTTTCCGTTTATAACTTATCAGTAATTTATGGGAAGTTATTTTGAGGTTGCGAAAAAATACTTCTTCCTCATCAAATTTCATCTGCTACTTTTCGCATTCATGATTTTCCAACTCCAACCTTCCTTGTGTACATGTTAACTGGTGTTTTCCTTCCCTCCATGTATCATGCTGACATCAGTATGAACTCAAATATTTTTCCTTCATTTAATAAGTTACATAACCCGTAACTACCATTATTTATTCTGATGTTCAAATTGTTCAAGATTCGGGCAGTGGGCGTCCTCTAAGCTGGTTCCTGAGCCCTTCTGACATGTCCCCGTGTGCTCTAAGCACTTCTTCATTTTTTGTTTTTTGGTAGTTTTATGGTTTTACTAACACAAATACAATGTGCACATAAGCTGTGTATTCATTTTCTTTGCTGTGCAGCCCGGCATTGGAACTGGGGACTCTGGTGGCCAGTAGGACTGCTCTTTCCACAGTGGCTCTGCGGTTCTTGGAGGAGACACTGTGAGCAGTCTCTGCACAGTAAGATTTGTTGCACATCAAGCAGCACCTCAAGCTCCTTGATCTTGTGGCCTAGGAACATCCAGAAGCCAATGGGCAGCATGTGCTTTGTTTTCTTGTTGCTGCCGTAACCAATTCTGGGCATGAACATTCGGCCCTTGAATCTTCTGGGCACCCCATTGTCATTGCCTCTGGGTTTCTACCAGTCGCACTTAATTTTAACATACTAGTTTAACTGGTACCAGATGAACTCCTTGGTCACATTCCTGGGTTTCACCAGAGATCTGAAGGCAGCCATGATGCCAAGTAGGGCGCTGCCACCTCCGCAGACAGCGCCGGAGAAAAACTTTATTTTTTTTTTTAGCACTTTTGTCCTACCGTGGACACTTCTCAAAGGAACCTTAGTTCCTTAGTTCTCCTTAGTGGAGAAGGCATTTAGAAATAAAGATCCGGGTGTTAGGACTGCTCACTATTACTGGCATGTCATTGTTCCTGTGCCGGTTCATTAGGAACTTACATACACTTACGATTTGCAAATGTATACACACTCATGGTGATACCTTGCATTCTCTGAGTGTAACCTAACACCACCAGCGCACGCTTCGCCCTTTCCCTTCGTGGACTCCCTCCTACAATAGTGAGAAGCCTGGCTCCCATTATGCTCAATATAGTCACTCATTTGCTCAAATCTAGAATATACACAAGGTGGTTTCAGAACTTGCTATCCCACACCACTGGGGAGAAAGCAAACCCAATAACTAGAGCTCGGTATTTGTTTACAGTTCTTTTTTCTTTGATTAGGTAAAACTTACACAGAGTGAAATACACGAATCGTAAGTGTATAGTTCAACGAGTTTTGACAAATGCAGGCAACCATATCTCCTGAATATGTAATATTTCCATCACCCCAGAGAGCTCTCACATGCCTCTTACCCATCTCCCCCTCCTTGAAGCAAGTAATATTCTGATTTCTGTCACCATAAATGCAACTCAGTGTCTGTTCGCAGCATTGTCATATTGTTGAGGTTATTGCTGTTTGTTCCTTCTTACTGCTGAGTGGTTGTTATGCATTCTCCTGTTGATGGATACCTGAACCATTTCTAGGTCTTGGCTCTTATGAATAAAGCTGCTATGAACTTCTTTGTGCAAAGCTTTTAGTGATCGATGTTTTCATGTGTCTTTAGTAAAGAAACTGCCAAATTTTTTCCAAAGTAGTTGTACCACTTTATGGCTGCAATGTATCAGAGTTCTAGTTGCTTCACATCCTTGCCAATATCCAGTCATTTTAATCTTCATCATTCTGGGGGTGTAGAACAGCATCTGATTGTGGTTTTAATTTGCATTCCCTGAAGTAATGATGAATACTTTTTTTGCACTGACTGGCCATTCATCTATCTTCCTTTGTGAAATTTGTGCCTAATCTTTAGCTCATTTTTCTTTCTTTAAATTTTATTTATTTATTTTGAGAGAGAGAGAGAGAGAGAGCAGGGGAGGAGCAGAGAGAGAGAGAGAATCCCAAGCAGGTTCCGCACTGTCAGCACAGAGCGCCATGTGGGGCTTGAACCCACAAACCATGAGATCATGACCCAAGCTGAAATCAAGAGTTGGAAGCTTAACCGACTGAGCCACCCAGGTGCCCCTTTAGCTCATTTTTCAATTGGTTGTCTTTTTATTATTATTATTATTATTATTATAGGAATTCTTATATGTATCATGAATATTTTCTCCTAATTGGTGACTTACTTTCTTAATAGTGCCTTCAGTGATGGTAAGTTTTAATTTTTGAAATCTAATTTATCTAATTTATCTTCTAAGTTTATTGCCTTCTGAGTCTTGTCTTACCCCCAGGTTTACAAGCTATTCTATGTTGACTTCTTTGGTTTTTATCTTTAGATCCGTGATTCATCTCAAATGAGTATCTGTATACAGTGTGAGGTAGGAGCTGAGGGTCATCTTTTCCCAGTTGCTTGTGGACCCTCTTATTCCCGCACCACTCACTGTAAAGGTTTTTCTTTCCCCATTTCATTACACTGGAACCTTTGTTGAAAATTACCACAAGTCTGGGTCAGAGACAGAATCTTTTTTAAATTTTTTTTTTTTCAACGTTTATTTATTTTTGGGACAGAGAGAGACAGAGCATGAACGGGGGAGGGGCAGAGAGAGAGGGAGACACAGAATCGGAAACAGGCTCCAGGCTCTGAGCCATCAGCCCAGAGCCCGACGCGGGGCTCGAACCCACGGACCGGGAGATCGTGACCTGGCTGAAGTCGGACGCTTAACCGACTGCGCCACCCAGGCGCCCCCAGAGACAGAATCTTAAGCAGGTTCCGTGCTCAGTGTGGAACCCGACATGGGGCACAACCCCACGACCCTGGGATTGTGACCCGAGCCAAAATCAAGAGTCAGATGCTTAACTAACTGAGCCACTCAAGGGCCCCAATTTCTGTATTTTTATCCTTTCTTTTTTGGTAGTTTTACTAGCTTGCCGAAATGCAACTCTTTGTCTTTCTTGGTGTTCGAATTTTGTTTCTCACAAAATTTGGGAAATTTTCACCTATTGTTTCTTCAGTAATGTTTCTGCCTCCATTCTCTTTCTTCCAAGATTCCTATTCCATGCACGTGAGTCCAGTTTACTTTGTTCCGCAGATCCCTGAGGCTCTATTCATTCTTTTCTCAATCTTTTTCTCTGTGTTCTTCAAGTCGTGTGTATTACTCTATCCTTAAATTCTCTGACCCTCTCTTCCGTCTCCAGTTTTTCATTAGGCTATCCGGTGGGTTTCTCATTTCAGAGTGTGGGCTTCACAGTTCTAATTTTCATCTACTTCTTTGTGCGTATTTTCCCTTCTACTGCTAAGGTTTCCCTTACATGTTCCTCAGTCGTGTTTTCCTTTATGCCCGTAAACCCGGGTAAAACAGCACCTTTAAAATCCTTGTCTGCTGATTCCAGTATCTGTCATTGTAGGGATCAGATTCTATTGACCGTTTTTTCTACTGTTATGGGCTAACATTTTCCTATTTCTGTGAATGCCTAGAAATTTCCTATTGCATGCTGGACATTACAGTCGCTATACTGTTGAACATATGCATTTTATGATCTTTAAGCAAGGGTAATGAGTATCATTCCCATTAACATGCTGGCAGATCATACGGATCCTTTTGAAGCTTGATTTTTAAGCTTATTAGTTTGGGTCTAGAGTAGTCCTTACTCTGGGGCTAGAGCCCTACCCTAAACTTTGACCTTTCTGAGATGTCAAGGGAGTGTCCAGGGGGTTCAGTAAAGTTTCTGCTCTGGCTGGTCCGAACTCCTGAGTCTCCCAGTTCACAACTCTCTAGCAGCTGTTTCCAGCAGGTGTTGCTCTGCACACATACATCTGAGTATTTGACCAAAGTGTTGAGGAGACCCTTATGGAGACTTCCGGGGCTCCTTTTCTAGCTCCCTTCTCTCTAGTACTCTGCCCCACAAAATCTAGCCATCGCAGCAGCACCAAACTCTGACCTCTGCCTCCCTAGTTCAGTGGCCACTATTCCTCCAGGCAGAAAGTCAGGGACAGTGGGGTTTTCCCTTCTTTCAAGAATCTCAGTCTTGTGACAGACTGCAGCCAAAGTAGAGGTGGCACTGGTGTGGGCACTGGCACCACGGCTGGCTGCAGGGTGGGTGAGTCCCCTGCTCTCATCTAGGGGAGCCCTAGAGCAGCCCTTCAGGGAGAGGACCCCAGAGGCAGGGCAAGAAACTGCCTTGGGGAGAAAGCAAGGTGCTCCTGGTAACCCACCCCTCCCTCGTCACAGGATCACACAGGGCAGAAAGAAGGTGCCACGATGCCCTGACAGGAATCTTCAAAAATCCATCTGAACTATTTGGGATGATGCCCAAACTCGGGATCTATCACCTTCCCTGGTCAGTGCTAGCCAAGTTCCCGACGGGGGCACGCTGAGAACATTCGGCAGGCCATGCCTCTAAGACATGCCTCAATCTTGATCTACTGTGAAGGCTCAGTGTGGATCTGAGCGCTCCGGATCCTGGTCCATACCAAGTTGGTAGAGCCATTCCAAGCCCAGGTGAACTTCCTTCCTGTACCTTGTCTTTGGGGAACTCAAGCACCAGAGGGAGAGGAACAACATGTTCCTCTACATAAATCTAGAAGGGAGGGTTTCCCCAGGCTGAGGGAGGAAAGAGCTGACAGGCATCAGATGAAGGCTGCATGGGGAAGGCCCCTGGTGCTGCCCTGTGTGGAAGGAATACATCTACCCCTGTTAGAACAAGCCATCAGGGAGTGGTACCAGCAAGGAAGGGACAACAGCCAGTAGGAAATGGCAGTTCCTGGCAACTGCCCCTATCCCCCACCTACTGCTGGGGCCGACCGCACCGGAAATGCCTGAGCCACTGTGGACAAGATGCAGGACCTTTCCCAGAGTGACAGCATTTATCTAAAGCTGGAGAGAAGGGGGGGGGGGGGGGATTTGTTTCCAAACAATTTGGATTGTTCCCAACACCATCCCTGCCAGGAGCTTGCAAGAGGCTAAGGTGTGGAGCAATGGGGGCTGAGCCCCAAGTGGTAATACAGAAGGTTCTGGAAGGTCCTCATGAAAAAAGGCCCAAATTAGGAGGAAAAAAAAAGAATCTCAGTCTTACATGATTGTTGGCTAATATTTGAAAACAGTTGCTTGATATGTTTTGACCAGTTTTCTGTTTGTCTATATTAGGAGGTCTAGTCTTTACTAATGCCTACATCATGGCCTGAGACTTTTTCTTTTTTTTTTTTTTTTTTAAGCAAAAGAAATTTATTTTACATACTTCTGGAGAATAGAAGGCCAAGATGAAGATGTTGACAGGTCTGTTTTCTCCTGAGGCCTCTCTCCTTGGCCACTTTCTCACTGTATCCTCACATGGTCTTTCTTCTACACTGCCATGTCTAGTATTTCTTCCTCTTCTTCTAAGGATGCCAGTTTGATTGGATTAGGGACCACGCTAAAGGCCTTATTTTAACTTGATTACTCCTTAAAAGGCCCCAACTCCCAAAAACAGTCACATCCTGAGGTCCTGGGGGTTAGGGCTTCAACATATGAGTTTTGGAAGGTCACAATTCAGCCCAGAACACCTCAGACAAGGCTTGATGGCCTCTGGTGATGTTGACACAGCTGGAATATCACACTTGGAGAAATTCCGGCCTGGACACTATGTTAACACCCTGTTAGGGAACACAGCCTCCCGCAGTCTGGCCACACTCTCCAGCCTTCCCCACGGCCGCCCTCACTTGCAGTAACAAGATGCCTCAGCTTCTCTCTGCTCCCCACGTCTCCACACCCCTCCCTCCTTGCCTTTAGACACACTGTTCCCTCTGCTTAGAATCTTGCTCTTTCCCCCACTTTCTCATGACTCAAGACAGCAGTTCTGTTGACCTTCCAGTTGCCTGGCCAGTAAACCTGAACCGCAGACGCCTAATGAAAACCAGGTCATATGGTGCAAAGAGTGCGGTGTGAGGTGCCAGGAGTACCTGATCACCTCTGATACCACCTCTGCCACAAAACCACCGTTTGGGGCCCTGGTCTGTTCATATGGTGAAATGGGAGGTTGATCAGAGCTCTGAAGTCCCACCCACCTGTAACATCCCGCCATAATCAAGGAGTCACAGAGGAGAGACAGGCTATTTCCTCAGTTGGGCTCACCCGAGTGGAACTAGCCCTGCCATCAGTGATACAAAATGATGAGGACATGGTCCCTGACCTTAAAGAGGAAAGCACCTGCAGAGCTGACTATGACATGACCTTTTGGACACCTTTTTACAGTTAGTCTGTCTTCAGCTGTGTCTGTCTTACCCGTAATGCCCATATGGTAGTTGTGAAATGCATCGGTAAGCCCGTCACAGAGTATGCTGTCCATCAGTGGCATTTCCCCCATCTTGACTCCTGCCCTCAAATGAACCAAGTGAGGAGCCTGGAAACAAGAAATACAAGTGGACTTAGGATTGGCTATAACTAGTCCTCTCCTTAGGATCCCACTCAAAACTATCCAGTGGCTCCCCAGTCTTCGCCTAGTCCCCCCGGTGATCCTTCTCCCCAGTCGACCCATCCTCCTCCCACCCAGGGCTTGAAGACCCCTGGAATCAGCACACAATTCTATCCTACCCACTCTTGAGAAGCTGTTAGTCTCCTACCCACCTATTTCCATTTACCACCAAATCTATCCATTCTGTGTCCTGTGTCCTTAAAAACTCCATTTAGTCTTTCCGAAGAGGCAACTAGTTATCTGGGGTTTTTTTTAATTTTTTTTTTTTAATGTTTATTTATTTCTGAGACAGAGAGAGACAGAGCATGAGTGGGGAAGGGGCAGAGAGAGAGGGAGACACAGAATCCAAAGCAGACAACTAGTTATCTGTTAAATGAGGAGCTAATCTAACGGCATAAGTGATCACGCTGTGTGTTATTCATTTTGATACAAGACATAATGCCTACAGTCAGAACAATCAGGAGGCCTAATTAATGGGGAGAGCTTTCTGGGTGTGGGTCCTCTTAACTCCTACCCACTCAATAGCAGCTAAGATAGAATGGAAAAACTTGGGAGTCAGAAAATTGATATTTGAATCCTGGCTCTGGGCCTCAGTTTCCTGACCTGTGGATTGGGAATGATACCATCTACCCTATAAGGGCTGTTGTGACTATATGTATAAAAGCTACAAACCTCATAAAGTACTACACGGATATTGGCATGGTCCCCTCAGAATCACTCTGATCATGTTCACTACCTTCAACTTACCTCCTCCTGGGCTGATTTGGCCCTGTCTAGGGGATCCCCAGGTCAGACCCTAAACTGCCTGTAGGAAGCTGGTGATATACTTTTTTCTTTTCACTCCCATGCCAATTTGAGGGATGGGCCTTGGGGAAAGAAATTCTGCCGAGCAAACCTATTTGAGAAGGGTACCACTCAGTGGTCCTCTTTTCCACATTCGATGTCTCCAAACGGTCAACAAAATTTAGTCCCTTGGTCCCTGGGGTCCTTCTTGTCAAGCACAGGACAATAAGTGCAAACATCTGTTTGTTACGTTTCCATACAATGAGAAAGAAATTTAAGACCAAGGATATCAGCCAACTAATGTAACAAGTTAAATTTGGGACACACTTTATGCTTTGGTAACATTTTAGGAAAAAAAAAAAAATGAATTCTGTTCCAATCACACTGGTTGACAGGATTTTTCTACAACCTGGATTTCTCCCCCAGCTTGGAAGAATAATTAACATCCACATAGGGATCAAGGTTGAATCCAGTTTTACTTTGTTTACTGTTTGGCCTCAGCTCTGCTATGCATCAGGTTACTCTGCTATGGCAAAATGAGTTTATTAGTGAGAGGTCAGCAAGAGTTGTTTCTTCAGAGGCCTCACCTTGCTCATGCTTTCCATGCCTCCTGCAACCACAATATTAGAGTCTCCTGTCCCTATTGACTGGGCTGCAAGGCATACGGCTTTGAGGCCTGACCCACAGACCATCTGGCAGCTCCACGCTGGAACAGAGTAAGGGATTCCTGCACCCATACTGGCTTGTCGAACAGGATTCTGCCCACAACCTGGAAGAGGGAACACAGAGACTTCTCAGCAATCAAAGAGAAACAAAATGTTTCACTGGGCTCCTGTCACTTCCCAGCCGAGCTGAAACAAACCACGCTCCCAGCCAGACAGAAAAAGGCCTGTATACACTCTATCCTTGCCACAATCTAGCTCTTGAATATGAATTATCTTGTGCTGTTCTATATTTTAGGGATATAAGTTTCTTCTTCCACAAGGAAACGATTAATATCTTAAGAAGGAAACATTCTTCTTGATCTTTCAACAGGGTCTGAATAAGCACACATTCCCTTATTTTTTTAAAGAAAGTTTATTTATTTGAGAGAGACAGAGACAGTGTGAGTGGGGGATGGGCAGGGGGAGAGAGAGAGAGAGAGAGACAGAATGAATCCCAAGCAGGCTCTGCACTGTCGGCACAAAGCTGGAGTCAGGGCTCGATCTCACAAACCATGAGATCATGACCTGAGCCGAAATCAAGAGTCGGATGCTTAACCGACTGGGGAGCCACCCAGGTGCCCCAGCACATACTCCCCCATAAACACAGGGCAGAACTTGGGCATCATCCATGTTTCTAACTAGGGCCATGTGCTTCCATGATCATGGCTTCAAGACACCTGGCACAGTAAGAGGGTTACTTAAAGAGGAAAACCTCTGATAAGAAGTATTTCTTTCTTTGCTTGATATTCATCACACATGGTTAACTGGTTATGTAACAAGACATGTGCAAAATCAGAACTGACAAATACCCTTGCATAATTCAACTGTGGGAACTGTTCCTTCAGGGAACCGAAAGAAATACATCACATACATAAAGTAGCATAGAAGGGAATGGAGTTGAGGGGCACCTGGGTGGCTCAGTCGGCTAAGCATCCGACTTCAGCTCAGGTCACGATCTCACAGTTCGTGGGTTCGAGCCCCGCGTGGGGCTCTGTGCTGACAGCTCAGAACCTGGAGCCTGTTTCAGATTCTGTGTCTCCCTCTCTCTCTGACCCTCCCCCAATCATGCTCTATCTCTCTGTCTCAAAAATAAATAAACGTTAAAAGAAAAAAATTAAAAAAAAAAAAAAAAAAGGAAGGGAATGGAGTTGAAAGTTTCAAATATGCTCAGTACCCAGTGCCTATTACCAAAGGATCAATGTTTGTACAGTGGTCACTCTATTGCAAATTTCAGATAGACCCATACCTAGCACCTTTCCTCAGTGAGTTTATTGGAAAAAACTCGCCAATAGCTCATGGACAAAAATGTAGAGATTATATTCATCACAATGCTCTTTCTCTGGGATTAGACTGGTAGCCTTGAAACTAAAAACATATATAGGAAAAATTGGTCAAATGACAGAATCAAAATACCTCTAAATTGAACTCAGCATACTAGTTAATAAAGAAGAAAATATTATTTGAAGCTCCTGCTTTTTAAGCTACAGTGAGTTACAAATGCATTTAAGTAAATGATTCCTTCATAAAGATGTTATGTGTTTATCCATAACCTCCATCTTCAAGGTAAGAAATGAGCGCAGGGCGCCTGGGTGGCTCAGTCGGTTAAGTGTCCAACTTTGGCTCCGGTCATGATCTCGCAGTAAGTTTGAGCCCTGTGTCATGCTCTGTGCTGACAGCTCAGAACCTGCAGCCTGCTTTGGATCTTGTGTCTCCCTCTCTCTCCCCCCCCCCCCTCACGTTTTGTCTCAAAAAAATAAAAAAAAACTTAAAAAATTTAAAAAAAAAAAAAAAAAAAAAAAAAGGTAAGAAATGGGTGCTAAACATAATTAATAGTCTAGCAGTTAGCAGAACGTGAGCTCCATGAGAATGAGGATTTCTGTCTGATATGAACACTACTTATCCCTAGCTGAAAAAAAATAGTGCCCAGTGCACAGCAGGTGATCAGCTAAACATTTTTATAGGGTTATGGAGGGCGTCTAGGCTTAAGAAGTAGGACAGATGAAGGTTCGAATGCTAGCTCCATCTGCAACTGTGCCTGTGGATAAGTGACTTGACCTTTCAAACTCTCATTCACTCATTTCGAAAATGGAGAGAATACGATTCAACAGACTTACTGACGGGATTAAATAAAGCAATGAAAGCAGTAAGCACAGTGCTTTAAAGCCCAGCACTCAGCAGGCCCTTGATAAACATCGCTATTCTTTGTATTTTAATTTGCAAAGATACTATAGAAAAGAAGCGTGGAAGAGAGAACAGAGAAACCAACATGGAGTACCGTATGGCAACTGAATTAAGTCTGAATCGTGGGTCCGGGAAGGAAGGAGGATGTGGGCTGAAGGCTGCCAGTCTGAGAGTGTTACTCACCTATTTTAAAGCCCTTGGAGAGTCAAGGGAAAGTGGTAGGCCCGCAGGGACAATTTGAGAAAGGAGAATTAGGAAGAGGAACTACAAAACTATAAATTAAGAAACACCAAAAAAAAAAAAAAAAAAAAAAAGGGCCAGGTCTCAGACAGGGTAAGGACAAAAGTTGGCTGTAAGTGAGCATTACCAGTTACCACTAGCGATAATTGGAATTTATGCTGAGTGAACATGAATCTGGTTATTAATAAGTAGGAATGGCCAGTGATCACCAGTCCGTAGACAGTGGGAACCAGAAGGGAGACAGGAGCACTCTGGTGCCTCACCTATTCCCAGGGAGTGAGACACCCCCCGTGAGGAGCAGGAAGTGCAACCTACCTGGCCAGCTTGGAAGGGAGCCTACCGCGGGGCGCAAGGCCCTTACCTCTGCCCTATCCCCAGCAGGTAGCACAGTGCGAGACACAAAGGAGGAATTCACACTTTTGTACTGAATGTGTACATTTCTGGGGACTATGGAGGGCCGTGCATACTCTCGGATGCGTGAGGCTGGCCCTGGGTCTACAGCATGAAAAGGCAGTGGGGGACGGTGGTCTAGTCTAGGCTCATCCGGACACGCAGATGCAAGTCTAGGAGTGTTAAACTGGAAGGGGCTTGCCAGAGGGCCGACAGGAAGAATTCCCACAGCGGGAACGCCGTGGGCACATCTCTGGAGTGAAGAACTTCAGCTTCGGGAGTGGGGATGGGAGGACGTGTTGATGGGTTGCTTCCAATAAACCTGACCTCAGCCGGGGTCTCTGAGGAGTTACCTGCTGTCAAAACGTGTCCAAATATGACCTCTGACACCTCTTCGGGAGCCACAGCGGCCCTCTTCAGGACTTCTTTGATGACCGTTGAGCCCAGGTCGTGGACAGGGACGGTGGACAAGGCACCATTGAAGGAGCCTAGGGCAGAAGGGCAGGCGGGGGCGATGAGGAGGGCGTCCAGCGCGGCTCGTGAGGGTACAGAGCGGAGCGTGTGTGACTCTCACCCAGGCGAGACTCGCGCGGAACGCTGCCAGAGCATCGGGAAGCCGCGGACGCGCGGGAAGCCTGCGCATCCATTCCCCAAGCGCTGGCAGATGGGCGCGGCCCACGCTTCCCTAACAAAAGGGGTCGACGGTCCCACGCGCCCAAGGGCTTTGAAATGTCCACAGCGCTAAGCGCGGGACGGCAATTCTCACTAAACCTCCATTCACCGCCGCGACCCTGCTCTGACCACCCGTCAACCCCGCCCCTGTGGCCAAAGGGCTGACATGGCTCCTCCTGGAGCTGGCCAATCAGAGGACTCGGGAGAGAGCGCCCACCCTCGCCATCCAATGGGAGAGTCAGGCGGCACGGTGGTTCTACCCGGGGATCCAATCAGAGCACGCGAAGAGGAGTGGGCATCACCTGGCGAGGACGGGGCGGGGCTGCCGGGTGGTCGGCCGGGAAGGGCGAGGTGCAAAGTCCAGGGTGTCCCAGGGATCCCGGAGTCCCCGCGGCTTAGCCGCCGCCGGCCACTTACCTATAACGGTCCGCGCCGCCGAGACGATCACCACGGGGTCGGAACCTGCACTCATCCTGCCGCACCACAACCTCTCGTGCTGCTGAGGGCCCGGAGCTGCAGGCGAGTGAGGCAAAGCCTTGCTCGGCCGCTGACAGGCCGCTCCAGGGGGCGGAGCCGCAGGCAGACCCGCCCACCGATCCGCGGGCGCCAATGCGCAGGCGCGACGGCTGGCGCGCGGGAGGGCTAGGCCGCTGGGGACCCGGACAGCGGGCGGGACCGCGGGCCCTGGAGCCAGACACGCATCACCACCGCCTCGGACCCTTACCTGAACACCCCAGTGTTGTAGTTTGTCTTGACGTCTTTGATTTGGGGGCGGGAGGCGTGTTTGGCGAGTCCGTGAAAAGTGGGGGTGACAGAATAGTACCCCACGTTCGCTCAGGACTCGAATCCCGGTGGCGAGAATGTGGGCGCGAATCCTGCCAGCTGCCGACCTGCGGGCGGTTCTGTTGTGTGCTTTTGCTCTCGTGGCTTCTACAGTTCCTCTCCGAACTAGGCGCCAATAATTATCACTGGGGGTTTAACTTGGTTCTCCGTGCAAACCCTTCTCCGTGCTCTCGTGCGGGGTGGAGATCAGCCCCGGCGCTGAATGCGTGAGGAAGTCTGTGTGAGGGGTGTCTTAATGCCCCACACGTCCAAAGGATTTCGTTTCAGTTGACAGGCAGAATCTGAAAATGGGTGCATGTAGCAAGCTGGGTCACTCTTGTGAAACACAAACCCTTTGCCACTTCCCAGCTCCGACTGGGCAAAGCTCAGAATTTTTCTAAAGCTATCTAGGAACCTTAATACCTGGCCCCTCTGGTCACTGTTCAGCCTCTAGTCCGGCGGTTTTCTCCTGGACACACCCCGCAGTCTAGTCTCCCAGAGAGGGGTCTTGCTTTGCCTTCTCTCTAGCACTCAGAGCAGCGCCGGATCCACCCTAGCTACTTAATACTTACCTAATAAGTACTCGTGAATTTTCATGATATTGTCCAAAAGCTTTAGCAAACCCTCAAAGGTTGCGTAAGACCCCATAGAGATTAGAGTCAGCCACAAATATGGAGACTCAAACAAATATTTGAATAATAACTGGAGCACCTGGTTGGCTCAGTGGGTGGAGCTTGTAACTCCATCGCAGGGGTGTGAGTGCCGGGGGTCCAGCCCCAGTAGGGGTTCCCGAAGGATGGCGTCTGCGAAAATAACAAATGGACACAGACAACAGTGTGTTCGACTGGCCGCTTTATTGTGGCAAGCGTGGCATTATATGTGTTAGCAATTTCCTCGTAGCGTGCGTCATCTATGTTTCTCGGCTTTACCTAATTCTAAAAATGTTCCTTTGTGTAATCACCCATTAAGGAACCTCATGGTTATTTCTTTGTAACGTTCCCTCCTGCCTTTTGCTTATTGATTAATTTCTTCATACTACTTTCATTATGTAGCTACGTTTATGGTTTATAAAGCGTTTGCTTCACTATTTTCATGAAAGGTCATCTAGCTCTCAACACCTCAAGTGGAACATTTATAGGGACATGACTTCTTAACTGTTTCTTTGAACCAAGCTGAGTTTACCCAAGCTGAATTTCTCGTAGAAAGGTGTTTTGTTTTTTGTTTTTTTTTTTTTAGAAGTTTGAGGAATCAAAGAGAAACAACCTAAATATGGCAGGAAGGAAAGGGGTTTCTAGGGAAGTAGTGCAGCCTGTTGAGAACAAGGGGGCAAGAGGACTTTGTCACAGTGTTGTGGAAGGGAAACTGCTGCCAAGCCTGGAGAATCCTGAAGAGTTTTCAAGTAGATGAAATACTTATTAGATCCTGGGAATCTACATTAAGGCCTTGCAAAGGTATGTAAGTGGGCCAAACGAACCAGAGAAGAAAATAGCTGGAGCACAGACCCCACAGGTAAGGTAGGAAAAGCTTGGATAACACCGTTTCCTTCGGGAGAAATCCTTAGTCTGGAATCATGATGGAATCAGCAGTCCTCCCTAAGAACTCAGCAGCAAATCTAAGATCCTCCTGTCTGAAATGTGTTCCCTGTCCTCAAACATGTGAGTCCAAGAAATGTATGGAGCCTGTTCCTTGGCTTCATACTCTGTTCTATCCCAGTGTCTTCTTACATCTCTGGCTACCCAGTCTCCTTTGTGGACTTACTTTAACCGCCCCTTAATATATTCCCCTGAGGCTATGACTTTGCACTAGCACTCTGGGTAATGCCAGTCACTCCCGTGGCTTCAGTTACTACCATAAGCGGACCATAGTGAAATCTCTGTCTCTAACCTAGTTGTCTCCTGAGCAGATGCCCTCTCCATTAAAAGCTCATATAAGCCCATCAAATTTAACACATCTAAACCAAACTCATGATAATATCTACCTCTTCCAGCCTTTATTGTTTCTTCTCTATTGAAAATCTCAATTAGCAGTGCACCTTTGTTAACCCACCTACTGGGGAGGAGCACTCCATGTAGACATCACTTCTTTCAGGAGCCTTTCCTATCTTTCCTAGCATTTGGTGCCCCTTGACATCATCTACCTAACTTATCTTACCAGATGTTAAAACTCCTAGTTTCATCTGTCGCCTGTACTAGACTACATAAGCTTTACAGATCATCTTGTTATATTGCTTTATGCACAGGTCCTAACACATTACAGGCATTCTATATGAGTGAATAGATTCTTTATGTCCCGTGCCTAACACATGTGAATGAATATGAATATATTCTTCTGGATGCAAGGAATGTATCCAGCTGTTTCCCACCTGAAGGCTCTATCAAGAACCAAGTTAAGAGCAAAAATTGAGAGGGTAATTGCTTGCTTCTGTTGAGGCGCCACACAGCACCTGTTTTCAGGGGAGTCCTCATTATAGTTGCGCATCAAGCTCTACTCAGAGCTTTGCATGGACCAGGATAGGAACTAAGAATAATGAATAGGCAAAAGGAGAGCAAGAGAATCATTTTAAAAATTGCATCTAGATCAAGGATCATACGCTACCTGGGCTGGTGAGGAATGGGTGGGTAGCCACCATAATCTCCACGTGTGAGCGAGGGACCACTGCTACAGCAGCGCTCCTCAGCCAGTTTCTCCTGAAGGGGCCTTGAAGCCATTCTTGATGATGTTTCACAAAGAGGGTTGCAGGAGTGCAGGCCAGATTTAAGCTAGAGGGCAGAACCCCCAAACCTCCCCTGTAGCAAGCTCCCCAGTTGGTCTGAAGGGGACAGTGAACCACCACTGTAGATTGGCCACAGCTCATTTGCCGTGCACTCTGCAACAGGGGTGACTCAATTCTTTCTCGGCACAACTCCTCCATGGTGGCTCCAGACCAAAGGTGATGACATTATCCAGGATTGTGAGAAGGGTTCATTATGACCACAGGGATAAATGAACTCCTAAGAAAGTGTCGTCGGAGAAGAGCAGGGGGGTAAAGACTGGTCTAGAGGACAAACTGCTACGAATGAGAAATAAGGAGTATCTGAGAGAAAGAATGCCTTCGCATGATGTTTGCAGAAATGTCCCAGAAACTGGAGTGGTCAGTTTTGTCAACTGCAGCCAAGGCCAAGAGAAGGAAGTGAGCCCTCTGTACCAAGCTCTGTGACATTTCTGTTCTCCCAGCAGCAGTGTCCACGGAAACTTCTGTGAGCAGGTGGCAACTGGTACACTTCCAACAATGCCAGACCTTTGCGAAATGTTTTCGTTCCTCTTGTCCACAAACTGGTATCACCTTCAAAAGACATGTTAGCCACTTCTAAAAGACTATTCTTAATGAAACCCTCTTACTTCAGCCAGTGTCTTCAACTACATACTACAAATCTTTATAATTTGTATTTTCACCATCAGTGCATTGCTGGGTCCTGTGGTTGTTGCCTGCTCCTACATACCTGACACAGCAGCCTGACCACTTGGGAACCATCACCCTCCGCTCAAGCACAGCTCCTTCTCCCACCCAAGAGGACTAGCAGGATGACACAGCCCCAAGCCCAGGCTTTAGGAATCAGACAAACTTCTGCTCCTAGCTTTGGAGGTGGGTATTGCCCAGGAAGCTTTGATGACAGTGCCCTACGGGGCAGATCTAATACCTACCAATCCTTGGGTGACCACTTAACCCTTTCAAACCCCATTTCTTATTCTGTAAAATGACCAGTTGCCTCTTCTCATAGGGGTGATGATAAAAATGCAGATTAAAAAAATTACTTGTCAGTTTCTGGCATGTAAGTACTCAACAGGTATCAAAAAAAACGTTCAGGCACTTTTTGCTATCCTCATAGTACAATTCTCTTCAGAGTGATGCTAAAGTAGAGACATCAAAACTTTACTAACCTTCAGCTTTATCCAAGTTGACTGCACTTACAATTAACCTTCTTTGGCAGTACTCGAGTTTTTGCCAAATGGCGGATTCTCCATTACTGGAGGTTGTCTAAAAAACGCTTCAGTACTCCCACTTATCCCACTTAAAGAGAAGGAATACACTTTTAACAGGAAGCAAACACAGGCAGCTTTTCACCTTTACACCCAAGACCTTACACGCTTAGGTGAGATCATGACCTGAGCCGAAGTTGGACGCTTAACCGACTGAGCCACCCAGGTGCCCCTAGCTCATTTAACTTACAGGCAAAAGTTGAGCCACGGAAAGAGAATGCAGTTTTCCCAAGTCTTGAAGCAGGTAGTAAGTGGTAAAGCCAGGATTCAAACCCGTTAGTTCCAGAGGCCAGGCCATGCTCTGAACTGGATTAAGACTTATCACCTCTCTTATCATAGTCATACCAGCAAATACAGCATCCAATCCCCAAAATGAAAAATACTGACTTTGCAAATCCCAAGTTCTCTCTGCCTAACACAGATGCATCAGAAACTTGAAAATTGGTAATGACATATAACCGTTCTATATTAAATTTAGTTATAAAATTATATCACTAGTTGAAAAGCTTATTTCCTATTATACGCCAAGGATTACAGAACCTCAAAGGAAATCCCATTTTTCTTTAAAGTGGCAAGGTTAAAAAAGTACCTAAGAAAAACCGAAGTCAAAAGTACTTCATAAATCCAGGGAATATTTAGTATTAAAAAAAAAATTTTTTTTTTTACATTTATTTTTGAGAGAAAGAGCGTGAACTGGGGAGGGGCAGAGAGAGC